GTCGACTGGTTCATGCGTCGACTGGCTTTATCTCATGGGTTCTAAATGACCAATTGTCTCTTGTCTCTTACACCCCACCACTTTCCCCTCACCACCCCTCACCACCACAGTGTCACCACAGAGGTAACATAACCCCCAATATTCCTTGCCAGAAGCGGTCTAGAACCTCTCACGACCTCGTCAACCCACAGGCATAAACGTGACCAACTAGCTCCACCCACCACGCCCACCCAACCGCCCACCCGCCCACCCAACCGCCCACACATCCGCCCACCCACCCGCCCACCCGCTAATGCCCTGGACTCTTATAGCTTCCATGTGCTTTTGTAGGTGACCCAGTTCCATTGGGCCCCAGGTCTATTGGGACCCAGGTCTATTGGGCCCCAGTTCTATGAGTTCTTAGTATTAATGGGACCTAGGACTGGGGTCTATTTGGAGTGGGACTCAAAAAAGAAGGGGAGATAGGGTATATATTTATGTAGTCGACCCCATCACCAACTGAAGTAGTCGACCCCATCACCAACACAACGTAGTCGACCCCATCACCAACACAACGTAGTCGACCCATCCTGCCTTACAATGTAGTCGACCCCATCACCAACACAACGTAGTCGACCCATCACCAACACAGTAGTCGACCCCATCACCAACACAGCATGGTCGACCCCAACACCAACCCAAGCGTAGTCGACCCCATCACCAACACAACGTAGTCGACCCCATCACCAACACAGCAGCGTAGTCGACCCCATCACCAAGACAACGTAGTCGACCCCATCAAGTCAGAAGTCGACTCCCATCATCTCTACACCACACACGACCCCTCCCGTGTTGAGAGAGGGTGGGTAAGGGAGCACGATGTATGTTTACAGAGGGCGCGGCCTTGACGGAGGGAAGCGCCCGCGGACCATACAGACGTTAGGGGGCGACCTGGCAGACAGCGCGGCGCCCCCAACAACTGGCTGGCTCACACAGAAACAACCACTGCCAGCACGAGCTTTGAGACCGCCTGGCGTTCTCTCTTATCCTGCTAGCACTAACACACACTTGATAATACTTTTAGCTCCCCCTCTGCCACCTATTGAAATGTTTTTGGATCTACGCCAGACGAACACTCGCCAGTCTTCTGCTCACACTGGCCTTCTTCTGTGGTTTGAACTTGCGGCCTGTACTACAGTATAAATACACCGATGCTCGCTTGTGGTGGGAATATAACCGGTCCTGCACTGTGTGTGTGTGTGTGTGTGTGTGTGTGTGTGTGTGTGTGTGTGTGTGTGTTCGCTCATGCAAAAGTTTCGCCTTTGACTGTACTGATACTGCAGGCGCCACAGATCCAAAACTTTTTCCATCACTCGCTTTCTTATCATCTTTCTCGACTACATTTACCGCTATCTGGTAAAGCGAAAGACGTCTGTAGCTGTCGGCACAGACTTCCTTAGAGACCGACACCAAGCCTTTCAGTCACTCACCTGTGGCGTCCTCCTCCCTCTGTTTCCACCAACAACCATGTCACCATGAACCATACCTTACCTCTGACCTTGTCCCACCTCCCTCCATTACTTTGGGCCCCAACACACTCCAGGTTGTGGACTCCACCAAGCTCCTCGGCATCACTATGATAACAAACTAAATCGTAAAACACACTCCAGTACAACAGTCAAATCGTAAAGTTTTCGTCTCCACCTCCTCCACCTTCCCACCTACACAGTCCTTTAGAGTTCCCGCCCCTGAGCTGCTCAGTACTTAACATTCATACCTCCCAAGCTCACCTGTGCCTCCCCTGTCTGTCTTCCTCCCTAAATGCAACACAAGGGAATCACTTTATACAAACTGCAGAAAAGGGCATGCAAGATTATTCTCTCCCCCTCCTACTCCTCTCTCTCTGATCATCACCATTTTACAAGACTATTTATTTAGTGATAACTCTCTCTATCCCCAATTCAACTTATTTTTAGTAAACTTTCAAATTCTCCCCACAATTACTTTCATATATTTACCAACAAAGGTATCAAGCTTCCGTCACACATGCAATAATATTATAAACTATTTAATTATATTTTTTGTATATAACAGAATAACAAGTCTTATTAACTTTAAATACTACATCAACTAACAACTCTAAATACCCAATTAACTAAAACTTCGACAAATTACCAAACATTATAAACATTAAAGATATACTTTTTTGGCAGACCAACTCCCAAACAAAGAACGAATTATTTTTCCTCTACATTAACAACACGGGAATATTACTGCAGTCCCCCGCAAAAGACCATCTAAAGTCTGGTCGTTTTCTGTGGAGTAGTTTTAAGTGCAGCACCAAAACAACTCCCCGCCACACCATGCGTACGGTAACTCAACTCATGACCAGAATAACACCTAACTCACGGGAAAAATTCATCGTACACAAGAACTTAATGTTTCGTACTCAAGCGGTTAATCTATCGTACTGAAAGGGTTCCTGTATCGTACTCAAGATACCGATAAAGGCGTAAACGAAAGGAATCAAGATCTAGTAAGATTGTAGATTCCTCCTTCCCACCCCTACCTACAGAGGGGTCTTAACGGTGGTGGAAGTGACTGGTAGACTATTTCGGATCGAGAAAGGGCGTAATGAAGCCATGAATATGTATTAGGCGGAGTGTCTGGTGATGGTGTGCAGAGGTAAACACGTTATACGGCTGCCTACACTGAGATTAGTCCCGTGGCGCCATCCTCATCCTCGCCCCTGGACCGCTGGGATTACTTCAACCATATGAGAACGTTTCCGAAGATCATGTCTAGCCGGGTTCAATATTTTGTCAGTATAATCTCTGAGTTCCTTAGTACTCAGTAGTCTTATAGTCTTAGTGAGATAACAACACCTTGCGTACGATTGGGAATAGGTCATCGTACTCAAGGGGTTAACATATCGTACTCAAGATATCCAGTATTGTACTCAAGGGGTTTAAAGGAGAACGTAGAGGGAGGACGTTTGGGGTAAACCTAAAAGATTAAAACCCCAGATAAAACATTAAACCATCAACTCATTTACTGTTTTAACCTTTTATCTCCAAAGCCTAAAAAAAAAAAAAAAATAAACCCGCATTGAAATATATCCTGGGTAATGGTGCCTGACTCTTACGCAGATTTATACACGAGATTTAATTTTTTTTTCTCACAAATTATAACAAAAATATTTTCAGTCGCATTGTACATTAAAGTAGAATGGTCGGCTGCAGGTAAGATTCTGCCCCCTTAGGCCCCAGTCCCAGTAGGCCCCAGTCCCAGTAGGCCCCAGTCCCAATAGGCCCCAGTCCCAATAGGCCCCAGTCCCAATAGGCCCCAGTCTAATAGGCCCCAGTCCCAGTAGGCCCCTAGTAGGCCCCCAGTCCCAGTAGGCCCCAGTCCCAATAGGCCCCAGTTCCAGTAGGCCCAAGTCTAATAGGCCCCAGTCCCAGTAGGCCCCACTAGTAGGCCCCAGTCCCAGTAGGCCCCAGTCCCAGTAGGCCCCAGTTCCAATAGGCCCGTCCTAATAGGCCCCAGTCTTAATAGGTCCCATTCCAAGCAGCACCTAACTTAACCTAACTTACGACTGACCCAAAAACCTAATGATGTTGTTGGATAAGGTTAGGTTAGGTTAGGTTAGGTTAGGTTAGGTTAGGTAAGGTGGTAAATCTTCAGGCGATCATTCCACTGTTTATACGAGCAAAGTGAGTCAATTTACATGTGAATGACGTCACGTATGAGTTTACGTCATACAGTGTGTAACGTGACGCATCAGAGGTGTGGAGGTGTGGAGGTGTGGAGGTGTAGCGTGATGATGGTGATAAGAAAATGATATGATGATGATGACGTTGGCGATACGGATAATAATGACTGATGATGACAATGATAATAACAAGAATGATGGTAATGACGATAACAACGACACACACACACACACACACACACACACACACACGTCGGCTACAGTGAGTGAGTCTCCCCAGTCAGTATCAGTGATAAGCGATAACGCCCCACCTGATAACAACAACCCGGGTTTAACCAGGGATTAGTCATCATAAGCCGGAGATAAGGTAGTGTAGTAGACGATGACTAACGCTGAGTAACTTGTAGCTTGGGGTGGGGGCTGTGGTGGGGAGGCTGTGCTGGGGGGCTGTGGTGGGGGGCTGTAGTGGGGGCTGTGGGGGGCACTGTGGTGGGGAGCTGTGGTGAGGGCTGTGGTGGGGGCTGTGCTGGGGGGGCTGATATGCTGAGCCTTGTGAGACTGTTTCTTGATCAAGTGATGATTAGCCCCCTCCTAACCTCAGCTTATTTCACCTGATGATTAAAGTTCCTAACCTAACCTAACCTAACCTAACGTGGGTGTCCTGACTCAGCGTTGATGTGTGAGTCCAGGTTCTGATAGTCACGTACTGGTGGCGTTACGTGGGCGCACACACACACACACACACACACACTATGGTAAAACATAACCACTGATAAGGCTATAATATAAGGTTGTGAGGTACCGATAAATAAGACATTGTGTGGCCAGAATATGTCCACAGTGTGTGGTGGAGGACACCTATCACAGAGAGGAACAGCCGATATGACCCCTACATGACACTGACCTCTGACCTTGACTCTTGGGAAAAAATATCACCTGGGCATCTTTGAGTGGTAATGGTGTTGCCTGCCACGTTTCAAGTCAATCCACACACACACATACGCACGCCCTAGCGCGCACGCACACACATACAGCGCATCAATCACCCAATTCCTGACCTAATCATCCAAGTGTATCATACATTCATCCATCTCTTCACCCATCAAGTTAATTGATTACTCAGCCGATGGTCATTCCACTGGTGTCATCCTAAAACGCCGCCATCAAAAGCCGACGCCATCATAAATCGACGCCATCATAAGCCGACGCCATCATCAGCTGAGGGCATCTTGTTAACAGCCGCCAGGTTTACCGAGAGACCTAACAACCACACACTTTCTCCCGTCAGCTGACCCAAGAATCTAATTGGTCAATCCAACATTTTAAGAGTCTCTGGCCTATCCTGATTGGTCACCGGGGATTTCCAAAATCTCGGCTTGTCACTGGGTCGTCTGAGGTTTAAGGCGAGATCTCATTGGACAATCGGGAGGATTTACTGGAATCTCATTGGCTTTTGGAAGTCTCCCCATTTTTCGAGGCGGACTTTAATTGGTCAAATGGTATTGGGGTAATTTATACCGTTTAGTGCTGGTAAATTAACTAAAGCGGATAACTGAAACACCATCCATAGTGTGTGTGTGTGTGTGTGTGTGTGTACAGAAGACCATAACACCGTATCCTTGTGTAGATCTATCTTTCTATAGCTGTTTCTATATTTTTTTCGATTAATTTAAAGGTCACCGAAACCCGCTGATATAAAACACAAAACAAACAATAAACAAACACAAACAATAAACAAACACAAACAATAAACAAACCAAACAACATCCCATATTCGTCCCCTAAATCAAGTTGTCTACTAAATTCCTGAATAAATTTTGACGAATATCAATTTAAACAGAATAAATAAGTGACTAGACAAATACAATCAAGTACAAATGAAATAATATATAATTTTTTTTTTCCCGCGCTTTCATAATTGCAAAAATAAATACCAGACAAACATAGGTTATGACTGTGCGGTGGTGCCAGTTGTGTAGGGAGGGTGGAGCAGGGTACATGTGGCACCACCGCCTGCTGCGTTTCATACAGCTCGGGGAAAATGTGACGATTATGGAAATCTAATCTAAAAAAATGCACCATCCACATTTATCCATTTTCGTGGCTCTGGTAATGTTGGGCCAAAAAAAATGGGAGTTTAAAATGCCATTTGTTTTGACCAGAGGCTCGGTATATTAACGTAGAGCCGAGTGGTAGAGCGAGCGGGGGAATATTATTTACGTTGTGTCTTTGTCAACAATGGGAGTAGCGAGCCCAAATGTTTGTAAACAGTGGATCAGATCATTGTGAACTCGCTGTCATAGGTGAGGGGGAAAATACGCCCCTCCCTCATATGTGTTTTGGAAAATGTGTGTAAATTTATCGCAGCTTTTTTGCATAGAACTGTATAAATGGTTCATAATTTGACGTATATAGACTGTGACGTGTTTGTTTTAAACTGTTTCAGTCTGCTCTAAGGGTACCAATCTAGGGGGAATAACTGACTAACTGGGAGTACTTTCTGACTGGTCCACACACATCGCCCCCGCACTAACACAGCTTAAGATTGTGATCGCCTGAAGATTAGTTCTCCCACCTTATTTCACTTTATGGTTAGATTAGGTTAGGGTGGTTAATCTTCAGGTGACCCAAGATAAGTAATTTAATCAATATATTCCAAGATTTTCTTCCCTAAATCTTAATGACATATCAAGACGACTTCATTACCTATTCACGATACACCTGAGATTATTAAAGCTATTAATTATATCACAGGTACAGTCAATAATCACCTATAACCCTTAACACCTACTAGGAGCACCAGGAACACTAGGTAACACCTACCAGTAACACTCAGGAACACCTACCAGTAACACTCAGGAACATCTACCAGTAACACCTACCAGTAACACTCAGGAACATCTACCAGTAACACTCAGGAACACCTATCAGTAACACTCAGGAACACCTACCAGTAACACTCAGGAACATCTACCAGTAACACCTACCAGTAACACTCAGGAACATCTACCAGTAACACTCAGGAACACCTATCAGTAACACTCAGTAACACCTACCAGGAACACTATCAGCAACACCTGTCCACATTCACATAATCAACCAAGGTGTGACTCTCCCATGACGCAGCAGATCAGCCGCACCTCCGCCCACCTCCCACAACAACAACACAAATATATCTTAATTTTAGGTCCAGGGTCAAGGGCCTGGTCCACCTCCCACACAGGTAAGGTGGAGTGAGGGAGGGCCGTGCCTACACCTCCCACACAGGTAAGGTAGAGTGAGGGAGGGCCGCACCTACACCTCCCACACAGGTAAGGTGGAGTGAGGGAGGGCCGCACCTACACCTCCCACACAGGTAAGGTGGAGTGAGGGAGGGCCGCACCTACACCTCCCACACAGGTAAGGTGGAGTGAGGGAGGGCCGTGCCTACACCTCCCACACAGGTAAGGTGGAGTGAGGGAGGGCCGCACCTACACCTCCCACACAGGTAAGGTAGTGACAACACACACCTGTCCACCTGCCACACCTAGACCAGCAGGAGCCCCACGTCAGCCTGCAGGAGTACTCACCGTTTGTGTCGCGTCGTGCCACTAGGGAGGCAGGGAACACCCCAGTGCGGGCGCTGGTGCTCCCGTCGAAGATCAAGCCCCTGCACAGTCCAGAGTCGTCCTCGTTTACCACCTGAAGGAGACGCAGAAGAGGAGAGTATTAGCATAGTAAGGTGGCGTTAGGTGAAACGATTGTAAGATGGTTGGCGTTAAGGTGAAGTAGCAGGAGGTGAGGGGCGGTAGTAGGTGAGGGGCGGTAGGTGAGGGGCGGTAGGAGGTGAGGGGCGGTAGGTGAGGGGCGGTAGGTGAGGAGCGGTAGTAGGTGAGGGGCGGTAGGTGAGGGTGGTGTAGGTGAGGAGCAGTAGTAGGTGAGGGGCAGGTGAGGGCGGTAGGTGAGGGGCGGTAGGTGAGGGGCGGTAGGGTGAGGAGTGGTAGGTAAGGAGCGGTAGTAGGTGAGGGGTGGTAGGGAGGGGAGGGGCGGTAGGTGAGGAGTGGTAGGTGAGGGGCGGGTAGGTGAGGAGCGGTAGGTGGAGGGGCGGTAGGTGAGGAGTGGTAGTAGGTGTGAGGGGCGGTAGGTGAGGGGCGGTAGGTGAAGGGCGGTAGGTGAGGGCGGTAGGTGAGGAGCGGTAGGGAGGTGAGGGCGGTAGGTGAGGGGCTGGAAGAAAGGAGTAAATAAGCAGGAGAGAGAGATAAATGAAAAACAACACACACACATTACTAATAATAATAATAAGGAGGTGATACTCAGGTGCAATATCAACTCACCTGATTGATACACTACCTAAAATAACCTGATAAAAAATATCACTTGTATCATATCTGTCACAGTTCCCGCTCAGTTTCAGTCATAACATCTGGCTAACGCTAGAGGTGCTGATGGCAGGTGCATGTAGTGAGGATATTGAATAATGTTTACTCTGGATTATCTGATGATGGTTTGACACCCTAACCTAACCTAACTATAACCCAAGTCTAACCTATTGCTAACCTAACCTAACCAAACTATAACCCAGTCTAACCTATATTGCTAACCTAACCTAACCAAACTATAACCTAGTCTAACCTATTGCTAACCTAACCTAACCAAACTATAACCTAGTCTAACCTATTGCTAACCTAACCTAACCTAACTATAACCTAAGTCTAACCTATTACTAACCTAACCTAACCAAACTATAACCTAGTCTAACCTATTGCTAACCTAACCTAACCAAACTATAACCTAGTCTAACCTATTGCTAACCTAACCTAACCTAACTATAACCTAAGTCTAACCTATTGCTAACCTAACCAATATCTCTATAAAAATCCTATCAATATATCTCCAGTAAGATAGTCACCAAGACAAAAAAATACAGAAAGGGACAAACAAAAATATGACCTTTAGTACAAGAGGTCAAAGGTCACCATTAAGTTAGAAAAAAATAGTGAAAGATAAATTATTGGGATGTAAGTAGTGTTAAAGCTTTTAGTACTACAAGGGTCTATGTGACAAGCTTGGATCATCAATGAGCTTAGTAAAAAAAATGTATAATGTTCTTGTAAATCGTGGTGTAAATCGTGGTGTAAATCGTATATATAAGTAGCAATGTCTTTGTAAATAATGGTGTAAATTATTATAGAAGTACCAATGAATTTGTTACCTACTGTATAATTATCAATGAGTTTGTAATGAAAAAAAATAATTTTATAATCTGATACAGTACTAACACTTGATACCTGATACTAACACCTGATACTAACACTTGATATTGGATAACACCTGATACCTGATACTAACACTTGATACCCGATACTAATACTTGACACTAACACTTGATCCCCTAACACTTGACTTAACACTTGACGCAGGGTTTCACTAGAAGCTCACCGTGGAGGCTAGTTGCTTGAGGACAACCTTGTCAGACAGGCTTCCGCGGGTGAGACGTTTGTGTGCCAGAAGAGAGAGGAAGGGTGAGGTCGACAGGGGGTCCTCAGTGCCCGGCCTGACGCTGGAGGAACGGAACAAACTCCTTTTAGCACTCCAGGTCTTACTGTTTGTATCGAGGATGTGTCGGGGGGTCTTAGGAGTCTGGAGGGTGGTGTATGTGTCTCTGTCGGTGGTTACTCGTCCTTCAGGTGAGTACGACATATTCTGAGGATAAGTTTGCTCCTCGAGGTATCCCAAAGGCTGGTGGTTGAATATGGATAAGGCTTTCAGTCGATCGGCCCTTGATGATCGACGTTCTGAATTATATCTAAAAAGTTTCAGCTCAGGGACTTGAGGAATAGGTTCAAATACAAGGTCCTCCTCGTCTGTCTCTGGGGTTTTAGTGGGTTGTGGTCTCTGAGATGACCTTGATCTACGGAGCCTGAGATCTCCTTCACTGATGGCGTGTTTCTTTTGTGCATCATCTAAGGTGGAGGAGGCGGTGGATCTCATGTTGAGGGTGGGAGAGTTATAGTCAGGCTCGCTGTACGTCGACAGCGCTCGTCTACTGGGCCTGGTGCAGCTACGAGACCTGGTGAGACTAACTCCTGGTCGAACAGTTAGTGGAGGCTGGTCGTCCACTGTGAAAATTACTGCGGCGTCTTTACCGTCGTTGGCATTCCTGGGAGACCGTGTGCGTCCTCGGGCTCTGGTGTCTAATTGTTCCCTGGCGTCCTCACACCGCCGGCCACTCTTCTGATCCTCACTCATTGGTCCCTTGTGTCTCTGGGAATGTGTGTCAGTGGTCTGGTCATTCTTCCTCTTGGGGCTTGGTGATGGCGTCTGGAGGACTTTCTTCTTTATTTTATTAAGACTTAAAGAGTTACTCTGCTGACCGTTAACAACAGCGATGTGACTCAAGTCTGGAGTTGTATCATCCATGTCTCTGTCAGGTCTTATGTTAAAAGACTCATCAGACTTACAGGGACCAAATTGAACTCTACACTGATCAAGCTTCTGCATCCACCGGATTTTAATTTTCTGTAATTCATCCGTTGATTTACTCATCTCTGAATTCCTTCTCTTAGGCCCCCAGCAGCCGGGGTCATCAGCGGTGGTGAGGTCATCCAGGACCTCAGCTGACCGCGACAACCTCAGCTTTGCTCTCCTTACACGCTCCTGAATCGTATTCTTCTGCGAGTTACCAAAGAATCTTCGCAGGATTACAGGAAGTGAGGGAGGAGTGTCGTTTTCCTTCTCACCTGCAGTTAACGCTGAAGGGTGAGTGTGACAGTCTGGATGCGATTTCTTACCCGACGAAGAGGAAGGTGAGCGCCAAAACCCACCATTGGGTGTTCGTGGTCGAGGTGACACAGGAGGTAAGGACTGTAACACTCTCAGATGGCGACTTGAGGCTACCGGAGAGGAAGCGGGGGAGAACTCACAGTGGTCAGAGCCGACGGGTGTTGGGGGGTCATAAGGTGAGTGAAATCTACTCCACATTGACTCGTTGTGGGAGTTTTTCCTCTTGTTGGTGAAGTTAAGCCAGAATGTGGAGATGGATGACGGTGAACCCATCTCGGAAGACGGAGTAGTTCATACAGTCAGGAACTTTGCCGTCGTGTACATGAAGTCTCAGTAACGTCACATCTGATTCACTTGTTTTTCCTAGACGTCTTGTTGTATCGGCTGATTAATTACATTTTTATCAATATAACTTAGACCTTTCTCGATGCCACACAATTAACGTATCTAAGGCATCACAACTATTGAAGTCACATTTTTCTATATTAACAGGTAAATTACATCATTTGCTGCACCGAAATCAATGTTTTTATGATATTTTCCAATTTCAGTTTAGTATTCAGTAATTCTTTTCATAAGTCATTAAATCCAATATAAAACTGGACATAAAAATCAGGAGATCCTTTTCAATTTGTACTTTTTTAATATTTTCAATACAAACACTTTAAAACCAATGGCTCAATATCCTTGTAACTCTAGTTTTATTTTCTTCTTCTGATCACCAGTTGTCATGTCACCATCCAATACTGTATCACAACACTCAACTCCTGGTGGGCGTCAGTATAAATATTGCATCCACTATTAAATTACTCACCATATAACTCTTTACGTAATTATATAAATCGATATTATTTCAATAATAAACTAAATATATGAAGAATTTATCTACACTCACAAATTTCAGTTCAGAAAAGTTCATCTGATATGTCAAATGCATTTTCCACATCTGTGTTCAATATCAGGTAAGATCATTTCAATTAGCCACTGCACGTTCACCTGAGCACGTACGCATTAGCTTTCAGAACCACCTCAGAAGATAAAGTTCTCAGGTGAACATCATGGAGAACATTTATAACACTCTACATAACACTGTGTAGATCTGTGTACCTTGAGTGAGACACAGAATCAAGACTTAGTTCATTTTGCATTAGACTATATCCAAAAAAATTCAGTCGATATAACACTTTTCCTGCACACTGGCGCTCTGAGACGGACCAAGGGCCGCGAGGTGGCACTCTGGGAGGAACAAAAGATTGGCACTGGGAGAAGTCTTCAAACCGACCACACAACCCATTGAGTTCTTATCTTATCTCTCTACAACACGATCCTTATCTAAGCGTCTCTCACTCACACCACCCCAACCAAGTTTAAAAAAGTTAGTTTATACACTTATTTTAGTATTTCCGTGTTGCAAAACCAAGAAAATATATTGATTGGTGATTCGTTTTAGGGTGAATAGCGTAAAGGATTAGGGAGTTGTGGAGGGATGTGAGGGGGATTAGTTTATTACAGATTACGCGGGAGAAAAAAAAATAGTGTTGTTTACAAAGTTTAGTTAAGGAATGTCCCGCTAGGTGGCCACATGGCGCCAACTTAACCTCTCTCTCTCTCTCTCTCTCTCTCTCTCTCTCTCTCTCTCTCTCTCTCTCTCTCTCTCTCACCATCAGAACTATAGAACTGCAGCTCAACAAGGACTACTAGAACCTCTCAGAACGGATCAATTAGAACTGAACCCCATTAAGAATAAAACCCAACACCAACAGCACCCATCAGATCAAACCAATTATGACTAGACCCCAATCTGAATAGTCAAGGTAGTTTAAGAACCAATCAGAAGTGGAAACAACTCACCTGATCACCATTAGGAAGCAAAGGTATATCAAAGTATAGCAATATTTTCCCACCTTTGAGTTACCTTACATTACCTGGTTATGGTAAGTGATTCGATAAAGATACCTTACTAATTACCTGACTAATTATGCCCTGAGTTAATGATGTCATAATTAGATATACGTAAAGATGTTATTATTGAAGTATTGATGGGAATTTATTAGTCTATTATTATCGGTATTAAACATAGATAATTGTTTTACTTTTTAATTTTTCATCATCACCATTATTATTATTATTATTATTATTATTATTATTATTATTATTATTACTATTACCACTACTATTACCATTACTATTACTACTATTACCATTACTATTACTACTATCATCTCTTCTACGAATACTCAATCAAGGGGCAGGTGAGAACACAGCCTCCTTGTCCATTAAAATCACATACATATTTGCAACACTGTGTTAAATTTTTTACCTCTTAACCCACCTGGAGTACAAGAGATGCACTGTTACCACATAATACCCTCACTGTATACCATAAACTCCTCTACACAGAACAGAGATAGTGTGGGGTTTTTTTTTGTAAGTGAAGTGTGGCAATAATGGAAGTGGTATCTTATCTATGCAAAGAATATGTGTTTTTTTTTTCTCTTGTCAAGGTTTTGGAGTGTTGAGTGTATATAGTAGTCTGTTGTCTCTCTCAAGTCCCTCAAGATCGACCTTCAACTTTAAGCTCCTCCTTCAACCTCAACCTCAACCTTTAACCTTGACCTTCAACCTCGACCTTCATCCTCAAGATCGACCTTCAACTTTAAGCTCCTCCTTCAACCTCAACCTCAACCTTCAACCTCAACCTTTAACCTCGATCTTCAACCTCAAGATCGACCTCCAACCTCAAGATCGACCTTCAACCTCAAGTTCCTCCTTCAACCTCAGCTTTCAACCTCAAGCTATTCTTTCAACCTCAACCTCCTCCTTCAACTTCAACCTTATGTTTCTCTTTCAACCTCAACCTCCTCCTTCAACCTCAAGCTCCTCCTTCAACCTCAACCTTCATCCCCTTCTTAAAAAATAGGAGAAGAACCTATTAGACTTGTGGCCCATTAGTACTAGGGCCACCTGACCTGACCTGACCTGACCTGACCTGACCTGACCTAACCTAACCCCACAAGTAGCGTTAGGTAGTTTAATCAAGTCGCCGAGTGGATACAACTCTCACCTACTGTACCTAGGAGTCAATGGTTCGCACTAAGGGGCACTCCACGTCTACCCAGCTGTGAATAGGTACCTGACTTTACAGTTGGGGAAATTAAAGGCAGTCGAGTGCAGTGCCGGTCATATTACCTCCCTGTGTGTTGATAAAGTCTACAGAATGTTGTATCTGCACTGATAACTACTTGTCAATAAGATCAATCTACTGTGAAAAGTCCGTAAAGTTTCGTTCATAACTCAGGACGCTATAGTACTAACAAACAAACAAACAAAAAAACAAACACAAACAACCAAAACAACAAACACAAACAAACACAAACAAACAAAACAGAAAACTCAACACCAAAAACTTAATAAAATCTTATATACTTCAAAATAAATAAAAATAAATAAATAAATAACCCAAATATGTCTCTCTCGTTAAAGGTCAGATCATGAAGGAATGTGTACAAACATGACCTTATAATCAAGAGTAAAATCACGACGATAAAGACATCTCGTCACATTCCTCCCGGTGCCCACAAGTTGTCTACCTACCTGGTTTATGACGTCACAGTCTCGCCAATCAATAGCTCACGTGAAGATTAGACACCCTAGCCTAACCTATAGATTAACCCCTAGCTTATATAACCTTAACCTAAACTAACCTAACCTAACCTACAGTAACCTAATCTAACTATGATCAGTATAGCCTCCAGGTGTCTAATCAACCTACCTGACCTAAATATGTCAGGTATGCAGTACAGAACACCTTATTACCGACTTACCTACTAAACCAGAGTCAACATCTACGTACGAACGATTATATTAATACGTACGATAAATCTATAAGTAAATCAAGGACAGGTGTTGAAAAGACAGGTATTACAAGGACACGAACGTACCTGTACTTATTGGGGGGGATCAGATTAGTTTTATTAATATTAAACTAAACCAAAGATAAAACATCACGACTATAGTATAACATCGCCTTCAATTGGTTTATGTGACTTATAAATACAAATGGTTTTATTCACGCATACATACATACATACATACATACATACATACATACATACATACATACATACATACATACATACTTACATACATACATACATACATACATACATACATAAGTCCAGTTACCTGTGAGAGGACCCCGGGGGGCACTTGGGGGCATGATAATGATTTACTAACCCCCTTAACCCCTGCCCCGCCGCCCCCACGGGAACGGGGAATAGCCTGGAATCCGTTACTGGGAATGGGAATGCACTAGGATCCATTACCGTAAACGAGAATACATCGGATCCCGTTATTCCAGTTAAAATTGCACTTGAATTCAGGGCCCCAACCGAACCTGTATGACTGTGTGTGTGTGTGTGTGTGTGTGTGTGTGTGTGTGTTTGACCGGCTGTAGTTTCAGAAATAACTAAGGTGGTTATTTCCTTCCGTAATTGATCCACTAACACTAATATACAGTGAAACCTCCATATAAAGGACTTTCATATCGATATAATCCGTTAGATTGAAGGTGTCACATCTAATGAAAACCCTCGATATAATGGAATTCCCCCTCCATATAGCGCCCCCCCCCCCACAACTACTGAGGGAGGAGGTGGTCAAGAGAGTTTATTTACCATTCTAAGATAAATTAATTACAATTACTGAATAAAAAAAGTGACAGGAATTAACTGCAGGACAAGGAGAGAGATGAGACGACCCAGGTCACACACACGCCCCGCCCCGCCCCGCCCCGTGTTTACTCATATTGATATTGAAACAGTTTATTTAACCAGAAAAACACAGATACAGAGTGGATAATAATAACAATATTAACATGGCTGAGCCAGTTGAGAACCTGAGCTCTCTTTGAGGCACCTGATATATACTATACATTTATCTCAAGGAATTATTATGTAACATTTAGTATCATTTGGAATAGTACAATAGCATGGTGGTAATAAGAACATCTCATAATGTTACCACGGTTATCACTTCGTTATATACTTATTTGTTTTTGTACATTGTTATTATAAGTATGTACATAAGTTACAGTGGAGCAGTACAACATGGGTTGTACAGTATTAAAGTTGAACAAGAGGACAGAGCTGTCAGGATTATGTCTAGTTGGCAAATATGTTTTTTGCAATGTTAATTTCTTATCTATCTACATGATAATTTCCGATAAAACGGTTTTGGTGGTACAATAAAAGCAGTTATATAAGGTAGGTGTTACAAGAAATGTTAATACTTAGACAATAGATATTTTTTAAGATAGTTAGAGTGAGTGTGTTGTGGGGCTGATTGAGTGGCGGCCACCTACAGGTATTGCCTCCCTTGATATGAGTGACACATCTCCTCACTCTTGTTCCTGAGTCATTAACAATGTGTGTCACGGCCAGACCAGGGTGAAAGGGGTGGGGTGGCCGGGGGTGGCTGGGGCTAGAATGGGTGATCGTGTAGGGGTGGCTGGGGGGGTGGCTGTGTAGGGTGGCCGGGGTGTAGGGGTGGCCGGGGTGAGGGGGGTGGCTGTGTGTAGTAAAATCTCATCACGGTACTCTGTTAGGGTGCAAAAACGCCTCACGGGCTTTATCACCCAATCTAATCCAACATCACCTCACCACCACCACCACACCACCACATCCACTACCAACACTACTTTCGCTACCACATCCACCACTACCACCACCACCACCACCAACATCACCACCACCACCACCACCACTACCACCACTACTACCACATCCACCACTACCACCTACCACCACCAAACTTACTAGGCACAACCACCACCACCACTACCAATTCACTACTAGGTTAGGATAGGTTTGGCTAAATTAAGGTAAACTTAGGTTAGATTAGGTTAGATTAGCATTAGGTGTGGTTAATCTCAAGGTTAAGAATAAACGGTGGTATCTAATCTATTGGTGATCCTTAGTGACCATAAAGTTTTTAACACCACATTTTTACAACTTATATCAGACCTTACACACACACACACACACACACACACACACACACACACACACACACACACACACACACACCTCAAATAAATATCCCCCCAAACAATAAACAAACACCACACACACACACACATACATACAAACATAAACATAAAAAAATCCTACTAAATTTCTCTGTATTTCAAGAGACTTTCAAAACGGATTTCAGAGGGATTTTTACTGGATTATAGGATTAAGATAGACGATCCTTAAACTTAAATCATTT